GTTTTGGATAACCCTCGTCCATTTTGTGTGTTACTTCCTTTGTAGCTAGTAACGACGACAAATAAACAAATCTTTATAGTTATTTGATTTGCAAGTGATTAATATTTACATATTCACATGATTGTGTATCACTTCTTTAAATAGCTATTTCATGACACTGTGAATAAATTTAGAGTGCATTTACAAACACACGAAAAGTCGCGTAGGAGGGTAAAAATACAGTCTAATGTACATTGTATAAATATATGAAAATCAACTAAACTCATTTCAACTCATTTACTCGTGATATAGGCCACTGGCCCTTGACATATAAATGAACAATACAAAAAACAATTGGTGTGTACACAATAAATATATTTGAAATAAGTGAGTATGATGTAAACATACAACATGTATTTTTTGCCATTAACATATAAGTAAGATGTCAACATAATGTTAAAACAAGATTTTCTTGTTTGATTGCGTTAAAATGAACAAAATATATTCATTGGAATATTATTTCTACTGTGTTTAACAATGTGCATAATAAACATTAAAGATGATAATAATGAATGATGTAAACAAAAAATAATTATGTAAAATGTTCTATAAATATATATAATAAATATATATACGTAAAATTATGTTAACATATTAGCTTGTAGTCAACAATTCGTTATTAGAATAACATTAAGATTTTCTTTCTTTCTAGTGAGTAAAATGTACGTAGCTGTGTTTCTTGTTAAAAAATTATTTCTACTACTTAAAGGAATAGGAATGGATGGATTGATGTCTGTCTAATATAAATATTCATCATTAAAAAAGAGGTACCATGACAGTTTTTTTGTTGACATCAACCCTTTAAGTGAGAAATTCGTGTTTTAAGACACTATTTTTTACTTGAGAAATAAGTTCATGGGCGCCGCCATTTTGGCGTTCTGTCATTCTCGCGAGACAGACGAGACCGAGATTGTGACGTGTTATACCCACTTCCGGTAAAGGTGTACACGCTGGTACAACTGAAATATATCTTGACGAAGAACTTAATTAATCTTATTGCGTACATTATTTATTATTTATGAAAACATCATATGGAACTGAATTGCTTTAATTAATTAATTGAAGACGCCGCGGCATTAATTATCATTAATTTTGTCCGATTTTCAAGCTTGCTGATGATCCCACCACATGATTTAAGCAATGACTGCTTAGTTTTCAAAGATAAACCATCAATTTAATTTGGGTACTTTGAGAAACTTCTTCAAATTGACGATATATCCTTTTATTTGGTACTTAATTTTCGCTAGACAAGCTGTCTGAATAGGGTACATCGCCGGTCATGTATCTTTTTCTCAGCGGTAAATATCAACTAAATCCAATATGCAGATATTTCCTGAGGATGCAATTTTCCGACATTGACGCTAAAAATAAAATGGCGCAGGAAAATCGGCAGCTAGACTAATATCGTATGAAAACAAAACTGTCCGTTCGGTTAATTAGGCACCCAGTCAAAACTGGTACCAACAGCAACAGGTTGCCCATTGGGCATAATTCCCCTATTATTACGCATATTCTCGGGTTTATCCAGTTCCCTATAGCTTTTTTCCACGTTATCTACTTACCACACAGATACGCATTTCTACTACCGTAAATTTAATCCAATAAAACAAAAAAACATAAATCTACTTAATATTCAAAATGATTATTGGTAACTGAAAAAATGTGTTGCTATTGTATGAAATGCTGTAATTTACAGTATAACTTGACTCCCCTAAGGTCATTCAGTTCACTGATGGAGCGTAAAAAAATGTCTATTTCGTCATTAGAATATTTGACAAGGGTGATTAACCAATCAGGGCAACATTGTGCATGATCAAAAGGTCTGTCGGCACAGAGGCATACAAGGAGCAATAAAAACCGTTAGTACACAGTGTGACAGGAACATTTGGTGCAAATTAGGAACAATTAAAATGGATAATGCACAGTATTGGTCATAAGTAGTAAGAACCAGCAATTGTGTGAATAAATTATGCAAATGAGATTTTTGAGCAGCCAATAAAAATGTTTTGCATGCAGTTAATATTAGGCTACGATTACGATGTAAATAAATACCACGAAGCATCATTGACAGACATGTAAACAATTTACTTTTCAAAAGAGTTGCTTATATTTTTGAAATGTGTACATCACTACTAACATATGTTCACACCTTTTAATTTGAAAGTCAGAATCAAACTGCAAAAATTTAATTACATGTACTATTAAGGATACGTTTTAGTAGGATTTTAATAATAATGATAATTATTGCCGTTCAATAATTAACAGCCAATTATTCGTTGGTGCGTTTGTTTATTTAATTGCATTATTTGATTGTGAAACTTTGTTAAATAATAACATGTGTATTTATTAACTCTGTGAAATATTGTTTAATTACATTAAGATGAGACTTTAATGAACATAGCATTGTTTGGAGTAACGGGCATCACTGGCCTGAAGTGGTGCGACCGGTAGACGTTGATTTTTTATTTGTTTCTTTATTTTTTTTTATTTTTTTATTTTTTGATATTGTTACACCTCCTGTGGAAATCAAATTGGAGCGTCAATACTTTATTATGTAAATATTTCGCTTCGATTCAACTAGATTTATCATAAATCTAAAGATGTGGGGAAATGACATCACGCGCACCTGTTTTTATATGGCCAATACACAAACATGGCCGCGCCTACTGATTTGTAGAAATCGGCGATTTAGCGATTTAAATTTCGTTATCATTCGTTTAATATTATTATTTGGCGGCAGAAAATTTGCAGATTTATTATTTATAGTATTCGTTTTCTGAAATCAAGTTTTTATTCTAACCTTGTTTTTCCCTTTAACAATGTACGTAATCTTATTAAGGATGGAAAATGTTACTCGTCATCAATTTCAGATCTATTGCATAATTTACATAGTCTTTGTTCTCTCGGAATACCTTGATGTATGCCTAATTCTAATTCAAAAGTAAGAGCCAGATCGAATTTTTGCATAAAAATGTCTAAATTTACGTACAAATAAAATATCTAAGTAATAGTCATGTTCATCAAATGTTTTTATACACTAATAATTTTGTTGATAATTCGACAACGCTGTATCAATTGTGCAAATATTGGGACTTAGCCCTATCAATAAACTCTTTAATAAACATACTGTGGTTTAAATTATGAGTATGATGCCACATATAGCTAAAACCATGTACATCTCACTTTTATTTATTTCTTTGGCCCAATTAAAATGAAGATCAGTTTTTATACCCACCAAAAATTAAAGCATTTTTGACATACATTGTTGCACCGTGTATCGGACATATCGATTATTTTCAAGCAATACACCAATACTTCGAGCAACGTACATAAGAATATGAATAGAGAGGATAACGCCAACACTTCATTAATAAAAAGAAAAGATATTAGATGTAATGTCACACATAAGTTTTTTTTACATGCAAGAGTATGTACCTGTTCAATACAAACCCCAAATTTCGCTACCATATGGCAGGACCGGTAACACCTTGCTATCAAATATTTTGGAAAAAAAACAACGGAATTTGTTAATTGGCCATATTTATACATAAAAGATAAAATACTATTGAAAATGCGTTTACCTTTGAAAACATTTTCATTGGCCGTAATATTTAAAGAAAGGACTGGAAAAAGGGAAACTCCAACATAAGTTACAACTGTTCAACATCGAGATTATTACGAGCGAAGTGCCAATTCAAAAACCATCAACAAGCATTGTCTTATAGACACGCGCATTAAGTGTTCACCCGTCGATTTTTTTTTATTTTTGTCATTTGTACAGATAAAAGGGTGATCGTACTGGAGTTAAATCATAGTCAATAATTCATTAATCTTTCTGATCTGAAATCAAAACATCTCTTTGTCTGGTATGAACAATACTCCTCCTTGTTGTTAAACATTTCTAATTACAATGACACTTAATAAAGTATAAAAAAATAAATGCATTTCGTTATCAGTAGGAAAATCTATGGTATTTTTGCTGGCGACTTCGATTTGTTTGAATATTTAATCAACACTATAAATATTTATCTGTTCTATTTGCAGATGATGGTAACAAATATAGACTTGTTTTTGACTGGTAATAATTAAAGTTTTATTACGCCCATCCAAGGGTATATATTGAGCGATGATTATAATACATGTGTGATGAAATTTGCATCAACACATGCACTTTCAAAGCTCACATGCATTTCTTGATGTTGACATTTAATTTCTAGTTGTTTTTTTGACATGGATATTTTACCAGAATAAATCTATTTATCTATTGCGTGAACAGGTGAAACATAATAATCCAGTTTTCCATATTTTTTTCAATTTTATAATTCATTTTGCATTATGATAAAAAAAAAAGAATCGGGTTGTCCAAAGAAAATTTCTGTAACTATCCATCGGAATTAACTTGTAACGTTTAATTTATGAAAAGGGTGGCGCAGAATTTTATATTTAATGCAGATTTATATTTTATCCTTAACATTTTCAGTATCAATTGTTTGTCAATCACTTTTATAACAGTCAATCTTTAGAAATATATAATCAATTCAGCTCAATTTGTAACAAAAATAGGATACTGTCACTTTAATAAAATTTTAATACTAAAATGCTGGTACAAAAATGCAGCAGATACTATTTTAGATAAAAGTAAAATATTTTGATTACAGAAATTTATTAAAAATTAAATTAAATCTTAATATGTCTAGTTTGAATAAAGGAAGGAATCAATAAACTATGTACTGGAAGTTGCGTTCCCTATTACAGGTAATGTAAAGTTGGTCCTTTCTTTAAAAAAATACTGCCAGTTTTTTTAAATGACACTATATATTCATATTGTGACCACATGTAATGTGTAGTGTTTAACATAACATATTTAGTTCATGTGAAATCAAAACATATTTGTTTTATATTTACAAAGAGACTGTGTAGCAATTATCAATTTTTAGTAATATCAAATTTGAGCATAAACTGATCATTTCTTACGCACTGCACTTCCACTGAATGTGATCTTTCTACCTAAAAATTTTTATGTTGATACCTCATGTAGTTTCAGCATTGTGCCAAGGACAAAGTTCTAAGTGTAAAAACGGAAAAAGAAAAATAACTCCAAACTAAGTCAAGGCAAAGTTACGGTTCTTATGCTTGCACGTCAACTTAATGAGATCTATCTACCTGCAAAGTTTCTTGTTGGTACGTTTTGTAGTTTTAGAGTTATGTCACGGACAAGAAAATGCGGACGAACGGATGGTCACAAGGACGGACGGACGTACGAACTTACGGACAATGCGGCAACTATATGCTCTCCATTCGGGGAGCATAAACATCTGATAAGGGAAAACGCATCATGTATAACACAATCATTTAACACAGTAAGTAAACATTGTTCAATTATTTTTATTTCCAGTGCTCTATGCGAAAATGTTTTATCATCATTCATCTACATTGTTGCAGATTAAATATGTGCAATATAAAAGAAAGTGTGACAGTTCTATTGCAAAAGTCCTTCAGGAATGTCTACAATCTTTAAAAGATAGTTTAAACATGTTCATGCAGTAGAAACACTGTCATATTTTTACAAGAACAGTTTTCAATTGCTCCCAAAACAACTCCTGACCAACCAAATCCTCTGTCCATTCAATGTACGTTGTTGAATCGAAAAGACATTTCAAGGAATGATTCATATTTCTTCCATCAATTTTCTCCAACAAAATGACCACTAATTCTGTTTCATCTTCAATCTGTTTAGAATGTGCGATTTTTAACTCAAACATACACCATCCGCTTCGTGCAAAGGCATTGGTAAGAACAAGTATTACTTTCCTACTTTTGTCCATATTGGTGACAATATTGTCATTTATAAACACACCAGGCTGAAAATCTCTCTCATGAATGCATAATTTCAGGCCAATTTCTTCCTCTAGGACTGGTAACAGTCGACGGCGTACCCAGACTGAATCCTCGGATTCATAACCAACAAAAGCGTCATATACAAAATCATTTCCCTCAATAACCTGGTAGTTTCGTCTTTTTCGCATTAAATAGATATAATGTTTAATGTTCCATCGATTCCTATATACAACTATGATGATAATGCAAATAACAATAACACAAGGTGATGCAATGATAGCGACCCAAATCCACGTGTTCCAAGGATGACATTCTCTGTACGTGAATGATACGTCAGAGAGTCGCCTTCTCGTTTTTTCTTTTGGAAGGTTGCAGATATATTCTTTCGGGTATCTTAAAATCGTTCCAGGTTTATGTGTTGATTGCAACCAAGCAATAAACCATTCCAGGTTACAGTCACAGACGAATGGGTTCTTACTGATGTCTAAATAGTCCAACTTATTAAGAAGTGAAATCGGTAAAGCTGTAGAATCTATATGTCCAAGTTGGTTATACCGTAGGTCCAGCTTTCTCAGATTCTTCTTATCTTTGAATGTTTCACTACTTAATTTTGATATCATATTTGACCGAAGGTCAACAGTCTTTAAATGTTTCATTAGGTTCAAGATAAGTTTTGGATCCCACGAAATCAGACAATGAAAACAATGCAGTTTTTCCAAGTAATTAAGCGGCGAAAATAATCCAATGATATCTTTGTTGCTTAACTGTGACATAGAAATTCCGATTATTTTTAAATCAATAAGTTTAGGCAAAAGCTTGAACGTCTGATTCAAAGACTGGAAAACGTACAAAGCAGAAAAACGATATTGTAAACTAAGTGACTTGAGTGAGGACGAGTTAAAGGCAAATGGTTCGACAATCAAAGATCTCGTTCCTGGAAGCATTATTTGTACTGTCTGGATATTCAGCAAAGCTGACAAGAAATTGTTTGGTAAAACTGATATTATGTTTCCGTTAAGGTTTAGGACTCTTAAGCGGTTTAAACATTTTAGATGTTCAGATTTTATTTCTTGTATGTCATTATCTTTTACATTTAGAAAATCAAGTTGTGGAAAGAAACAGTTGGATTCGTTTCCGTTGATTCTGAAGTCCGGGAGTGTTCTCAAAGTATTTCTACTAATGTACAACGAACGTAGATATTTATTTTTAGATAATATAACATTTGAAATATGATTATATGAGATATCAAGAGTTTCTAGACGATTAAAGTTCTTGAATATTCTCATATCCAGAGTTTCAGTAAAATAATTTGTAGCCACGAGTGTTTTGATGTGATTTTCTTTTATTAATGAAAATAAATCTTCGTTGAGGATGACTGTGCTGATTGCACTTATTTCCAAGTGCATCAAATATCTTTTCTCAGACAATGAACCTATCAAATGTTTTAAATTGTCATAGTATATTTGATTGTATGACAAAAATAACAAATGCAAATTAGGAAACACGTCTAGAGCGTTACTTGAAATGCTCGTCACGCTATTATTATCAATATACAGCGCATAAATCAGGGAGGGATAGCTGATGTTAACAAAGGTTTCCTGTGAGATATTGGTTAAATGATTGAAACTGAAAATCAAAGTATCTATTTTATCTTTAATCCTAGGTATGTACTTTAGACTTTGGTGACTACAGTTCAATGTATGATGCCCATGATCCACTTCCTCTTTGCAATATTTCCATATTGACTCTTCTTTCTCCCTTTTTAATCTAGAACATTCCATATTTGAGGTCAAACCCCAAAAGAGGATTAAGAAATGAACAAGTTGCGCTGTCATCTCAAGAAGCTTGACTTTGACCAACAATGTTTCTCCAACTGTAAAATATAATATAAATGTTTTTGAAGTTTTAAGACAATCAATTCATTTCCTGTGAATACAAATACAAATCTAATTGGTATGATATGATTAACATGCTTTCATTTTTTAATTCTATGGAACAAGGCATCAGAGGCATTCAACAGCAAAGACTAAAGAGTTTATAGAAATTATAATTGAACCGTGACATGACATTTCCAACAAAGTGGTCAAATGGCGTAATTGTAGAAACGTAACGTCAAAGTTGACGTCAATTTTTTACTTATTCCGATCAGAACTGTGCAGTGTTTAAACAGTGCCAACATCAGATGTATGTAAGCAAAAAACAATTCGTTACTGCACTAATATAATTTTTTTCACCACAATGATGACGGTTTTCCACAGTTTAAAGATATGGGTAGAAATGACTCATGTTTTACAACCTAAAGATTAAGTACAAACTGCGCTGCTAAACTTGTTCCTGTAACCTTGAACCCCTGACAAAACACTCGCTGAATCGTGATCATCAAGGAAGAAAATTTTAAGGAAAATATGAGTTGACAAATCTAACTTCACCTATTGAAACAACACTTGACATATTGTCATTAAAACAGAAACCACTTTCAGGGCTTAGTAACCTAAAACAATTAAACAATAATTACATGTATTCTTTTTTCTATTTCTTTTTATCGTAACATGTCATGGTTGAAATGTAAATAAATTGGAATGAACACTTTAATGTAAATAGAACAAGGAAGATATCACATCACATGGATATCATTGTTTTATATAACGGATACTCAAAACAAGAGTAAACAAGAAAAGCATTGATGCAAAGCATCAAAGGGCGTCCAAGCAAGAAAGATGAACTAGTAGACATATGATGACAAGATATTCTTATAAACTTTTCAATGGTTTATTTGTTTTTCACCAGAATGAACGGGCGAAAGACATTGTTCATTATGAACTTTGATTGGCATGCTAGAGATTAGAATATTACTTGTTATTTCTTTATGATCGTGATTATTAATAGCAACGGATATACATGTATATCATCATTTATAATCCATATGTGTAACGCATGATCAACACCACGCTTGTGGAATTGTCTCGTATTATGTTATCGCTATTAGCGAAGACCCCTTCTTAATTAAGGTATCTGTTCACACTTAGTAAAATATGACACTGGTTATATTATCATGTTGATCATGTTGAGCATAATTGTTTATTATACAAAAATTGTAATATTTATTTTAATATAAGAAATACAGATTTTATGAATATTGTTTTCCTCTCTTTTTTGTTTTTTATGTGCTATTTTAATACTGAGTTTTTACGTGTACTACTCTTTTTTTTATCAAAATTGTAAAATAAATTTTAAGAATTCAATTGTCAAATTGGCCGACGGTTATAAGTCAAAACTTAACTGGAAAAAAGTCAGTTAATTATGCTTTATCTTTCAATATATAATAATGTTTATTTTTAAACAATGTACATGTACATTTGTATTTATCTTTATCATTTTTTAAATTATCATTCAATTGAATAATTCATAAAATCTAATTTGTAACTTTGAATAATTCCTCGGCATCTTTACTAAATACGAATAACAAATTAAACAAAATGTTTCAAAGTTGATAGTTTCATATTATTACCATAAAAATGTACCTTTTTCTCAATTATTGCACATATTTATTGTTTTTATCTTATATAGATAAAATGAAACATGCAATTGTTGTTGTTGTTGGGTTTTTTTCGAATTGTATGTTTATGTATAATTATAATCAATAAATTTGAGAGTTGATCTGTGTTTATTAATTATTGTAACCAAAGTAAGTGACAAACATTCATTTTGGAAAAAAATCTTATTTATTTGTAAAATATTTGTTCTGTTCTGTAACGATATCAAACATCTATTCCAAAACCGGGAGAGACCGGGCAATAAACGTGTGATACTATTCGCCGGTCGATAGTAAAACCCGGTCAAAATAGACCGGAAGAGACCGGGAATTACCGATAGCAGTGCATCCCTCTATAAATAGATTTTCGGAATGTTTAGGTCATCAACTCATCATTCTATAATAACCCACTGTGTACAACAAAATGATAAAAAAACGAAGAGACGGAAAAGGTTATTTCATGCATTGCGAAATTCTCCAGTTCGCTATTCATTGTACATATCGAGACATTTTTTTTAATCAAGCACCCTCATACCGATCGGAATGATCGGCTTTTATTATGACCGACTAAAAGGCTCGAGAAGTTGCTGTCGCCCATTCACAAAATCTGATTTCATTCCATAAGGGCGCCGCGCTTCGGCGCGGACGCCAATAATTGAGATAAATGGATGTGTGCATATCCCGTCCTGCTTTATATAAAATTAAGGGGAAAACAAAATTTCCTTGAAATTACATCATCAAACATATGAACGCAGCATGCCTCAAGATCAATACTTATTTTTATAACAATTAGGAAAATGTATATTAAAGTGAAAATATTGTGAAGTGTACAAAGGAAGTAATTTACACATTGCATACGGCACTTACAATCCACGTAAATTACCAAACAGGTGTCAAAATGGGCAAAATAGTCCTACAGCATTAGTCACGTTGTAGACTTAAGGTGATATTTTATATTGTCAATTGTTATTTGAGATGTACTCTGTCATGTCGTTGTAATTGTTTATGCTTATAAGTGAAAGTCTTGATTTTTATTTCGTGAGATTAAACCCATATCACTCAGAGTATATCACTCATGGCGTTGTGAACGAAGCTTTATCGAACTTTTTTGTGGCGTACGTATTATTTTATGATTCCGTAAGTGTCCTAAAAATGTATTGTTATCTTGTTGTTTAAAACATATTTCTTGACTCAAAGACAATAACTGTACCAAAATAAACAAAACACTCCCCACAATGATAACTCTAAGCTGTAACTTCTTTTGTTTAGCGCAGTGTACGCGCAACCGTTTGCGGCCATTTTCTTAACGTGGGTCTGTATTCCAGTGTCTTAATATAAATAATTATCCCGTAGGAGTGTAATAAACTGATTTATTAAAAACGATATTACACTAGTGAAATTACACTTTGGCGTGACAGCCTGTTCATGGAAGTGCAAAATACCGTCCACGCCCCCTAGCACCGGCTTAAGCAGAATTCAACATTAAACATGAACTGGTACAATTTGGAATTTTGAAACATCCGCAGATGTGTTCATATGGTGGTTATCATGTAAGTGCCATCCCTTGAAAAGCGGCATATGGCCACCTAGTAAAAAATGCATGTGCACTTAACGAGGAAACAATGGACGGAACTAAATACAATATATTCTCATATTAAACTTGAGCATAGAATATGTTTAAACAATATTTTGAAGAAATGCCATGACCTGGGGCATTTTAAGCTTTAGCTTAAACAGGGCTAATCAAATTAATATGAGCAAACTTGATATAAGACTACCTAAGAATGCTACAAAGTTTGGTGATCATCTATCAATTATTTCAGTAGGAAATGATGTTCAAAGGTTTTTTTTCTATTTTAGCTTTAGTGGCCCCTAAAAGGGGCTAATCAAATTAATATAAGCAAATTTGATAAAAGAGTACCCAAGAATGCTACAGAAAAAGTTTGGTGATCATCCATCAATTGGTTCTGAAGTAGGAGATGTTTAAAGGTTTTTACTATTTTTAGCTTTAGCTGCCCCTAAAAGGGGCCAATCAAATTAATGTAAGCAAACTTGATTAAAGATTACCCAAGAATGCTGCAGACAAAGTTTGGTGATCATCCATCAATTAGTTCTGAAGAAATAGACATTTAAAGGCATTTCTATTTTTAGCTTTTGCGGCCCCTAAAAGGGGCCAATCATAATAATATGAGCAAACTTAATAAAAGACTACTCAAGAATGCTACAGACAAAGTTTGGTGATCATCCATCAATTAGTTCTCTAGAAATAGACATTTTACGGTATTTATATTTTTAGCTTTAGTGGCGCCTAAAAGGGGCCAATCAAATTAATATAAGCAAACTTGATAAAACACTACCCAAGAATGCTACATACAAAGTTTTGTGATCATCCATCAATTAGTTCTGTAGGAGAAGATGTTTAAAGGTTTTCCTATTTTTAGCCCTAGAGACTCCTAAAGGGAGCCAATCAAATTAATATGAGCAAACTTGATAAAAGACTAGACGTTTAAAGGTGTTTTTACTTTTAGCTTTAGCGACCCCTAAAAGGGGTCAATCAAATTCATATGAACAAATTTAATAAAAGGCTACCCAAAAATGCTACAGACAAAGTTTGGTGATCATCCATCCATTAGTTCTGTAGAAGAAGATGTTTAAAGGTTTTTTCTATTTTTAGCCCTAGAGACCCCTTGAAGGGGCCAATCAAATTAATATGAGCAAACTTGATAAAAGACTACCCAAGAATGCTACAGACAAAGTTTGGTGATCATCCATCAATTAGTTCTGTAGAAGAAGGAGATTTTTCTACTTTTAGCTCTGTTGACCCCTAATAGGGATTAATTGGACTGACATCAGCAAATTCAAGTGTGATTGTCACAAGGATGCTACTGACCAAATTTGAAGTAAATCTGCCCAGTAGTTTCAGAGAAGAAGACGATTGTTGACGCATGACGACGGACGACGGACGCCGGAGCATCCCCCTTTGATACTTATAGCTCACCCTGAGCTTTCGGTTCTGGTGAGCTAAAAATGGAATTTTGAATGAAGATCAGAGGTTATGCAGCCTGCATATCACAGATAAGACGTCAAAAGACAAATTAAAAAGCAGGCCACATATCCTAAGTGTGATTCAACAGTATTCAAATAAAGAATACTGGAACCACCCAAAAATAAAATAGCCGAATAGAAGCACAACAATAATGGCGTGCTAAGCGATCTTTAAATATCGGAAATATAACATCTCTGACTGAATGTACGGGGCGACTTTTTACAGCCTCCACACGGCACAAACAACGCTGGTGTGGCGATAAAATAGAAAAAAATAAGAATCCCTAAAGAAAGCC